CTAAATTAAGCTATATATGTGATCTTATAATTAACATATACTATATAATTAGATATAATATTTTACATTAATTATACAAAAATAATGACAGAATTTGCTTTAATATAAATACTGTTGTTCTGTTAAGACCTAGCTTTCACGAAATGCCTATGTTAAGTATCCACACAGGGTGGAAGCAGAGCTATACAATCAGGCGTCGCTGTCAATTTCCACATACCCTTTGTAGACACTGTGTGTGCCCATGCTACACTTGGGATTAGAAAACTAGTATGTGAAGAATATCAGGTACTGAAACGTATTCAGAGCCAACAGCACACTGTCTGCCCTGACATGAGGTGAGGCTGCTCTGTAAACACAGGGGTTTTCCTTTGACTGGTGTGTTTTTTACCGGTTCATGTCCTTCTCTGGTGTGTTGGCAAAGCAGTAAGAGCAACTGCAGGACACTCCCAGGGCTGCTTATATGTTGTTTGCATTTTGCACCCTCTCTCACCTCACGCCTATTTGACAGCATGCAAACGACCAGCCAAATACTTCTGTGAAACAGGGAAGCCCGGAGTGAAATCTGCTGCTGCAATCCCTTTAGCTCTTCAAGGAGGAGGAATTAGAGAATCAGTGGAAATCCTCAGAGAGGGAGGAATCGGCTGTATTACAAATTTCTTTCCTTTGCAGGGGGTGGTGAAATAGGAACAGGTGAGAGGAGGTGCTTGGAATTCTAATAAATCCATTTCTGCTGGCACTAAGTGGCCTTCTTCACATGTTCACATCAGTGCAAAGGCAGCACTAAGCACACTGGCACTCACACGCTGCGATCCATGAGAACACTTCATTTGGTGTAACGTCTGTCAGCTCAGCATTCTTTTTTTGGGGGGAAGAATTAAACAGCTGACTAAAAATGACAAGGAATAATGGACTTAGAGGGCACTAGAACAGCCTGGAAACCAGTTTTAACTGTGCTGCTGTGACGGAATACATCCTGTGTGTGTGCATGCTTGCATGAAAATTTACTAATACATATAATGTTAATTACCTACTTTCGTCCTGAAACAAGGCTGGGAATGAATATCAGGAAAAGAGATGTTTGTTTTGCACAGGCGCCCACATCCCATGTACTTTCAGTCACAAGGAAATTGCCCTGTATCTCCACCCTGTGTACGCTTGTGCCTGTAGCTGTAGGCAGTAAGTGGGGAGAAGACACAGAGCTTATGGAAACTTGTGTACCCCTGTTCCTCCACGTCCCCCAGCATGAAAAACCTGACCAGCAACAAGCCCAGGGTGTACCCGCCGTTCCCTCCTCAGCTGAAGCCGTACAGCTGTTGCTTTAGTAGAGAAAGGGATTGGATTTCACAGGCTGTGTAATCTGCAACAGCGCTCTTTGGTTTGGGGATAGCAACAAGCCTCACCCAGGCTTAGCCATCCCCTTTCTGCCTGTAGAGGAACGCCCCAGTCGACATAGAAGGAAAATTGTTTGCTGAATTTCTTCACAGCCCTCCTTCCAATTGCTGAAGAGAGAGGGGGAGCGAGAGAGAGTTTAAGGCAGGCTCTGCACTGGTGTTCTGGGCTATTTCAACTTCAGGGCAACTTTAGAGAACTTCAGTTACTTTTGGTAAGTTGTGGTGTTTTTTTAAACCCCAAACCTCTTTCTCTCTCTCTCCCCCCCCCCCCCCCCCCCCCCCCACCCCCCCGCTTCTTTCTAGTCTCTGATGCAGACTGCACAAGTTTGCAGTAGATGGTGGGCTTTTAAAATTGCAGAGATGTAGGTGTGGGTATTTTGTGTCCTCTGACACAGAAACTAGACATTCTGGTTATAAAGACATAATGTTCCAAGCTGCTGTGCTTGATAAGTGAAACCTGAAGATGCTGTGCATTAAGTGATACTGCGGTGGAAAAGTATGGCCAGAACTTCAACCAAGGTGCATCCCACCTGGTGTAAAAATTGGTCTCTTTCTTGTGTATGGGAAGAAATGATATCAGGGATGAACTGTTCAGCCTGCTAAAAAAATTCTGATCCACATTTTAATGCAGGGGTTTCAAGCATGTGCACTAAGCCTCCCAAAGCCTTCAGAGGGATGTTGGTTCTTAGTCCTATACACACCCCTTCATTCAGTAATCTCTATTCCAGATCATGCACGTTGTTTTCCTTACTTCCTCTGTCTGTATACTTAACCTATCATACGATCTCAAAGATAGTGAAACTCTCTTTTGTAGTACAGCCCGTCCCAGTTGTTGCAATGAATTGCAAGGTGCAAATTGCAGTTTACTTAGTGAAGTTGTTTTCTGATGAATATGATTTTTCTGTTATTTGTTTTCCCCATAGGTATATTTGGATTTTAATAGTATCTGCTTCTATGAAAGGAATTCTATTTGTGTGGATACTGTATCTCAATAGATACCATTTGCAATGTATATATCATAATATACTGACTTGGCACTAGGATCTCTGTATCTTAGTGGTATTTGAGACTAAGATTAACCTTGAAGCATTTAAAAAATAGATTCATAACCTTGTCAGTAGTAGTGGGATCCTGTATGTGTTCACTGCAAGGCTGCTGGGGCTAGTTCACAAAGTCATAGGAAATATAATGGGTAAAATCATTCTGTCCACCTGTCTAGGTTCTTTACCCCATCCATGTACCTTAATATGTTTCTGAACAGATGATCAGAGGTAGGATTTGTATCTGTAGCCACCTGTAGTGAGAATGAAGAATTCGTAAAGCTTAGAAAAGAAAACATGTTACTCACGTGAAAGAAGACACTAGAAGTCTACTCCTTTACAATAGAAGTAACCATTCTTCAAAATTTATGAAACAATCATCGCAGAAAGTTGAAAGGTAACTCTTAAGAGATACAGAAATCAGCTGATGATCACCTGTTGCATGCACAAGGGAAAATTTCTAAGTATTGCCTTGCTATATCTTTTACAATTATAAAAACTAGAGGGAATTTCGCAGGTCCGAGCAAATTAAAGGAGAAACAGCTTACAACAACCAGTTTACTTCCACAATCTATCCGAACATAGTCCACAATCCAGCATAAAAAAGTTTCAGATGTTTAACAGCACAGGAAAACATGTAACATCTCAGAATTTATTGGGGGTTATTAGCTATGTTTAAAAATGAGAAGTGTGACTGGAACTTTTAATTGCAGTAACTCTATAACAATGGAGTTAACAATAACTCCTCAGCAATAAACTGAAAACTACGAATCTGTGCCAGGCACTCTGCAGTGCTGACATGTTCCATGATGGCTGTAGCTTTTCTGTGGAAGCATGTAGATTTGTTAGCTTAATTGCATTTTACTATCTTTGGTGTGGCACTCGCGTAAAGTAAACTCTACTATTACATTATGAGGCTTGTGTAAATCTCTGACTGAAGTTAGTTTGACTCTAGTCAGTGCTCATAAGCAATCCATAGAGGATGGCAGCCTTCCAAACCTCCTCTGCAGTGTGTGTTAACGTCTCTTCAGTCGAATGGGACAGTGGCAACTTCTAGGGCTGATTTGCCAGGGGGTTGGAGATGGCACGTATTTTCTGCTTTTAATTGTCTTGGATGCTCAATTTGTATTCACAACTATGAGGTCAACGTGCCTCTGTTCACTTTTGGCTGTACTTGAAGCTCATCACTGAAATAAAATCCAACAGTCTGTAATACATGGCCAGGGGAATAGCTATGATCTGAGTTAACCTCCTGTTGACTTCAGTGGGTTTGGTGCGCCATGCACAGAGGCACCCTGCTCTGGGAAGCCACTTCAGGAACTTCACAGGCACTTCCCTTAATGTCACTGTGAGTGGAGGGAGTAGGATATACAGCATTAGGGTATTACTAAAGTGTCATGTCTTGTATGAAACCACAGGAATGTACATTCCCTTGATTTGAAGCTCTAAAGATGCACAGAGATTTGGATGTTTTTTTTCCCCCTCAAGTTTTCTACAAAGGCAAAGAAGTCGGTACATCCTATGCAAGTGTAAAACAGTGAGGGATTTAGGGAAGATTTTTTCCAGGATTTCTCACATCTGGAGACCTAAATAATCAGAATATAAGGCAGTGTATTTGAAAGGTGTGAAAGTTACTGGCTTGTGTTCTGAGTAAATATTTGAGTAAATAGATGCAATCTATTTTTTATATCTAGCTATTTTTGCATTCTATAATATCCCTCACATCAGGGAGCAGCAAAATATGCAGTGCACTGGGAAAATCTGGGTTTCCACCTCTGGAAAAACATGCTATTGAGTTTCTGGGGTTCGTATGGCAGATTAAATCCCAGCCAGTAAGGCTCAAAAGGCCTCAACATCAGCCCTGCTGTGAGCGAAGAGGGGACCTGGCCCTCTGCACTGGCACAGGCAGACCCTGCAAGGGTGAGCTTTTGCTTTCAGGCAGTTTGCCACATCCCTGAGCCCTAATGTGCTAAAAAACTCTTTTCCTGACGACATCGTTTAACAACTACTGCCTTTCCTGCCTCCCTTAGCTGTAACTTCCAATCTGGTTAGCAGGCTTTGGAGGGAAAAGTAGTGGAGCACTCCTGAGTGATGTAGGAGATTCAGTGCCTGACGGAGCCAAGATTAAACCCTACCAAAACTAGGTTACCCTCTCTTCACGTGTGGCAGAAACCAAGACAACACTCTTGTGGCCAGAAAGATCCTCTGGATGACCCGCAGCTCTGCCTACGCCTAGTTTGGGAGGATTATGGCTGCACCGGGGGAAACTTGCTAAATTCATGTGTTTGCTCATGCCTGTTCAGATTTTAAAATCGAGGCTGGAGTTCATTGTTTTATATTGGAAAACAAAGCTTCAGGCTAGGAGAGGACCTGCCACATCCTAAATACTTCCTACCAACATGTTTGGTTCCTGAAAGGAGGCTATAGGTAGCCAAGTATCTGGAAGTAACTGATGACTTATTGTATTGTAGAGAATGGATCTACAGTTTTCTATCAGAGAAGGGAAACCCATGGGTTCACCATCGAAATCTGACCAAACATGTAGTCCAGAGTGGCTGGAACAAGTCAAAATATTTTAACGTTATTATGGCATCTAAGTAATAAATGAGCCAAGGTAACTGATAGAGGACCCATCTGCTCCCATGGCATAGGGACAGCAGCTCTGCAGGGAGTGAGTCCCAGGGCATGGTAACAGCTCAAATCCCAGTGAAATTCCACAGAGCAGGAATGCAAGCGCCTGAAGAAGAGCAGGTGCTGAGCCCACTTCTTCTGCCCCATAAAGATAGCAGTGTCTTCAGAAGGTAAAGTTATCTGTTTTTCAAAACACAAACAAGGAGATAAGGTTTATGTGATTTCCAAGCCTGCTGATAAATGCTCAAGACTCCAAAGACATTGTAACTGTTCTTCACTGTTGGGCAAATGTTATTTCTCCTCTGTAGTTAAGAGAACAAACACCACTCGATTTTGATAGCGGTGGGCTGTGCCTGACATTTGCAGAGTCAGGAAGTAGCTGTTATCCATGCTGCCATCTGATTTTAAATACCTTTCTACCTGCCCACTGACCTCTCAGCTCTCCCTCTTAAAAAGCAGTATGTTTGTGGCCTCAGTCAGCCAGCACTGAAAAGCAAAGGTTTCAAGCTGCACGTATTTCTTCCCATTTCTCCAAGTCCTAGCTAAATAGGACTTGTAATAAACTACTACAGATGTAGCATCTTCCACCTTTCAGTGAGTCCCAAAACCAGACACACTTTATTAGTCCAACCATCCCTACTTTCCTAAGTATCCCATACTTCATACCAGCCCTGGATCACCTCTTCATTTACTTGCTGTGTGTTTTGTCCCAGCACCCAGCCCTTTGACTGTCGGCCAGGTACAATGCTCTATGTTTCTCACAAAAGAACTATGTGCAGGAACTTTTCCTTGCCTCATGTCATTCTCATTGTAATCCAAAGAACCAGCCTTAGCAGAATTACTTGGAGGAGTGAATTCCAGAATGGAAATTTTAGTACAAAGAAGAAACTCAGTGGACATGTATGCAGGAGTAAAAATTGTTTTGGTAGCAAATGGGATAATAACTTTTCTATGCAGCAAGAATTGCTTTAACTGATGGTTGCATTATATTCTGAAGGGTGAAAATGCCTGAGTGGAATTAGGACTTGTTATTTTGAAAAATAGTTAGAAATCAGCTTTTGGTGCACCTCAGAGAGGTGAGCAGCAATCCCTCAGATCAGATAATTATACAAAAGTTTGGACTGTTTTTTCTGTTTGATATGTGTGCAGGTTTATTGGAAGGTATATAAGATGAAGATTTGAGAAACTATCACGAGAAAGCTAGTGGTTTTGACTGCTGATATTTCCTGGTGTGAGCGGAGCTTTCTCTATTCCTGCTTCTAAAATCAGATGAAAGCAAGTAATTTACAAGAACACAAAAATGTCATTAAGCATTCCCTAAATATTTTCATATATGTCAGAGTTGGTCTGATTTATGCTATACTGAAAGGTTGCATTGATTTTTATATGAACTGTGTCCTTGCACTCCTTAAGGTTGACTTTTTCACATAATGGGCTTGACTATGCGACAAAAATTATTTGTGCTATGAATAGTTTGGACAACTCAGTGCCTAATTAAAGTAACCAGTTAGAGCCTCTTTTGGAGGCAAACCGGGCATTTT